GAGTGAGTGTGTGTGTGAGTGTGTGAGTGTGTCTGTGTGTGTGTGTGTGTGTGTGTGTACGTGCCATTAAACGCGTCTCCTTTGCGTTATAAGAGCGACACAGTCAGAATGATGCTGCATCTACAGCGCAACTTCAGCAGGTCTGTTCTCTCTCATCCTCATCTTCATCATCTTCCTCATCACGACTCTTTTACTCATGTTTGATGTTTATTTGACTCTCAAACTGTGTCTCACTGGAACATTCTAAATGGAATCGTTTTGAATTTAGTTTTTAGGAAACATTGTAGCAGGTGAAAGATGCATGGAGGATTTCTACAAATGCTCAAGAAGAGGAAGGAGGTGAGGAAGACTTCTCATCAGCATCAGCCTGCTGTGGATAATACTGTTTAATTTAGTTTGTACTTTTCATGTTTCTAGTTGATTCCTCTGATTGGGTTTGTGGGATGTGCTGCACTTGGAGCAACAGCAGCCTCCATTTACTTCTTACTGACCAAACCAGATGTCATGTGAGAAACTTAGCTTTATTACAGGTTTAATGATAAGATTTCAGTTATTTATGGGGTTAATAATAAGCAATCTCTTTCCTGTATTCGTTATTATGAACTGTGTTTTACTAGTTATTGAGAAAATTAAAGTTTTAAATTTAACACACATAATGAAACTGCCTGAGCAAGTCTGATATGTAATTGAAAAGTTAATATTTAACGTATAATATTATAAAAGCTGTGCACTGATCAAATCTCTGGACTTTTATAGTTTAAACAAGACCAGAAACCCAGAGCCATGGGAGACATTAGATCCGTCAACACCACAGAAGGTAAGAAACGCTCTTCATTCATAGACTGAGGGGTGATGATAATGTAACCAGCTGTCAAATATCTATTTAATCAGTATTTTAGGCTGCATAAATGTAGATTGTAAACAGCAATAACATATAAGATAAGGATAGAGTTATAATACATGACCTCTGAGACATGTGGAGATGCTCTGTGAATTTCATGTTGACTAAAGCTCAAATAAAGTCCAGAGGAGCATTAACAGGTTGTTTGTGTCTCCGTTCAGCTCATAACTATTAACCAGCAGTGGAAACCAGTGGAGGAGCTGGAGCTGGTGAAGAAACTGACCAAATGATCTCCTCTGGCTCTCTCTTCTGAATTTCCGTGTTAATTTAATCGGGATCTGAACTCTGTGTTTGCATGCACTGTGCCTTTAAGAGTGAAAATCACCTGTGTGCTGGATATGAGCTTAAATAAATGTATGCTATGGATTAAAAATGAATCCGTCTTTCCTTTGTGAAGTCTTGTTGGATACGTTCATTTGCAGATGAGTTAATCTCAAGTGGTTTCAGATTAGCCATTAATCTGAACAGTGACGCTCGTCTCATTTCCTTCAGACAGAACAACAAGAGAATAAATCAAGCCTGCTGACAGTTCACCGAGTCATTATTTGTAATTTAACTGAAGAGGAAGTGCTGCTGAGGTCTCCAAACGACTCGGTGCTTCCTGCTTCCGTCTTCATGTTTGAGAAACAATCGTTGATCAGCTTTCATTCAGAGCACAGATCTTCACACAGAGAGGCTGATGAGTGTGTGTGTGAGTGAGAGTGAGTGTGTGTGAAGACCAGAAACCCAGAGCCATGGGAGACATTAGATCCGTCAACACCACAGAAGGTAAGAAACGCTCTTCATTCATAGACTGAGGGGTGATGATAATGTAACCAGCTGTCAAATATCTATTTAATCAGTATTTTAGGCTGCATAAATGTAGATTGTAAACAGCAATAACATATAAGATAAGGATAGAGTTATAATACATGACCTCTGAGACATGTGGAGATGCTCTGTGGATTTCATGTTGACTAAAGCTCAAATAAAGTCCAGAGGAGCATTAACAGGTTGTTTGTGTCTCCGTTCAGCTCATAACTATTAACCAGCAGTGGAAACCAGTGGAGGAGCTGGAGCTGGTGAAGAAACTGACCAAATGATCTCCTCTGGCTCTCTCTTCTGAATTTCCGTGTTAATTTAATCGGGATCTGAACTCTGTGTTTGCATGCACTGTGCCTTTAAGAGTGAAAATCACCTGTGTGCTGGATATGAGCTTAAATAAATGTATGCTATGGATTAAAAATGAATCCGTCTTTCCTTTGTGAAGTCTTGTTGGATACGTTCATTTGCAGATGAGTTAATCTCAAGTGGTTTCAGATTAGCCATTAATCTGAACAGTGACGCTCGTCTCATTTCCTTCAGACAGAACAACAAGAGAATAAATCAAGCCTGCTGACAGTTCACCGAGTCATTATTTGTAATTTAACTGAAGAGGAAGTGCTGCTGAGGTCTCCAAACGACTCGGTGCTTCCTGCTTCCGTCTTCATGTTTGAGAAACAATCGTTGATCAGTTTTCATTCAGAGCACAGATCTTCACACAGAGAGGCTGATGAGTGTGTGTGTGAGTGAGAGTGAGTGTGTGTGTGTGTGTGTGTGTGAGTGAGAGTATTTTAGGCTGCATAAATGTAGATTGTAAACAGCAATAACATATAAGATAAGGATAGAGTTATAATACATGACCTCTGAGACATGTGGAGATGCTCTGTGGATTTCATGTTGACTAAAGCTCAAATAAAGTCCAGAGGAGCATTAACAGGTTGTTTGTGTCTCCGTTCAGCTCATAACTATTAACCAGCAGTGGAAACCAGTGGAGGAGCTGGAGCTGGTGAAGAAACTGACCAAATGATCTCCTCTGGCTCTCTCTTCTGAATTTCCGTGTTAATTTAATCGGGATCTGAACTCTGTGTTTGCATGCACTGGATTGTACTTTAAACATGCACTGTGCCTTTAAGAGTGAAAATCACCTGTGTGCTGGATATGAGCTTAAATAAATGTATGCTATGGATTAAAAATGAATCCGTCTTTCCTTTGTGAAGTCTTGTTGGATACGTTCATTTGCAGATGAGTTAATCTCAAGTGGTTTCAGATTAGCCATTAATCTGAACAGTGACGCTCGTCTCATTTCCTTCAGACAGAACAACAAGAGAATAAATCAAGCCTGCTGACAGTTCACCGAGTCATTATTTGTAATTTAACTGAAGAGGAAGTGCTGCTGAGGTCTCCAAACGACTCGGTGCTTCCTGCTTCCGTCTTCATGTTTGAGAAACAATCGTTGATCAGCTTTCATTCAGAGCACAGATCTTCACACAGAGAGGCTGATGAGTGTGTGTGTGAGTGAGAGTGAGTGTGTGTG